GACGCTGGCAGGCGTTGAAATGAGTTGGAAAATAAATTTTTTACATTACCCTCTTTAGCTGTTACCTTGAAGCACCGACCGGGAAGTGAAGAACATTAATTAATAATTTTAATTAAAATATCAGTTAATAATTAGTTATATATATTCCAACAACACCAATAGAAATGTTGCGCAGCAGAATTAATGTAACCCATCTCGAGCGGCATACGTGCTACAACAATGAAAACTAGAAACGGGCGTTTACCTGAGGTAGAATGTTCAACGCTAACGATATTCTTCGCCTGCGAGTACGATCGACCGATGTCGGCCAACGATCTGACTGTCTGAAGGAAGCTCTGTCCGGAACTCAATACTTCCATGCCTAACTTCGTGTTCTCGTACTGATGACGATGCTTACAAAGCAACGTATCATGGATAAAATCCTGCATCGTCTCTTTGATCTGCCCGGTTTTCAACAGTATTTCGACGATCTTATCTAAAAAATGTCAAGCCTTGTAAAAATTAATTCGCGTATGAAACAACAGCAATTAGTGACGTGGAGTACCAGCGATGGACGGAAAATCGGTACAATCCAAATTCAAAAGCACCGATCCTTTGAGAAGACACGATCGAAGTTCGAACAGTGAATGCAACGAAAGAGTGGCGACGTAAGGCTTTGACCACCGGTTTCCGCCTTCCTCAACGTCCTCCTCAAATTTTACCCACCTAAATAGTGCATGTTTAGCACAGAGTCATACCTTTACTTATCATATACAAAAACACCAATAACAAGTAGAACTCTAAAAATGTTTCTTCTGGCCCTTCATTGATAGGCAAAGTCTGTTATGCCTTTCAACAACGTTCATTTTCAAGATTTACGAAGAATGCTATTTCGATTAAACGAATGTCGGTCTTCTTCAGGGTAAGCACAATCATATGTAGGAGCCATAGCACAGTGGCAAAAGGTTGGCCTAGAACTCCAGGGGCGTGGGGTTCGAATTTCGAGAGAGAGAGAGAGAGAGTGAGAGAGAGAGAGAGGGAGAGAGAGAGATAAACAATTTCTCTTAACCGGAATTTAACCATACTGATTCGACGTTACCAGCTAAGAAACGGATGGCTGGCAAATCGTTGATTTGCAAACAACAGCGACCGTATGGTGCTCTGGTGTGATCATGCGATAGTGAGCCGGGGGAACAGCTATGATGCATGATGTGATGCTTTTTGGTGACTGCATTTGCTTTGATTCACTCTCGAACTGAATTTCAACTGTGATCAAGTAAACTGTAAGCTTAAAAAACAAGTAGGTTTACAGCAATGTTAGATAACACCTATAGTATCAATATACTGAATTCTCCAGCAACCTGCATATCGACAACCTCCAGACTTGTAGACTGTAAGTCAGCAAATGCTGGGCCAAACTGAAAACACGCTGGGGCATTACCACTGTTTACAACCAACATTATATATTGTCTCAATATTGTCCCTCTAAAAAGCTCCCTGCTACAAACCTGGAAATTTGAAGGATAACGACGCTGCAATCACTAATTCGTGTTTTGGCAGATGAAGATCACTCAACATTTCGATAGCGCTTGTGATAATCAGGACATGATTCCCAGCATACTATTTATTAACGCCCATTCTGAAAGTTCGATGGCAGAATAACTGACTTCCAAAATGTAACCAGCCATCCGAAGAGATTTGGATACTTCTATTAATCATTAG